GATAACTTCAGCTTGGCTTTTTCTTGCCGACATTACAGATTACAACCAAATGTAAACAATACTTCCTTCTTTCTAATACGTCTGCTGACATATTTGATGATTGCATTTCAACTGTTTTGCTTATTCGATTATGACTTTAAGACTGAAAAAAATATTCGTAGATTTCTATGTTTTTCTTTTTATCTTTTTCTGGGTGCCTCATATGAAACTTCGACATTAAGTAACCCAATAAGCGTTGACTTGTTATAAAATCAACCAAGCAAAGATTGCTATATCAATAAAAAAAACTCTGAGACCCTTTAGCTTAATTTTCACTGTCCCCCTAGTGAGTGTTCTACACTCGTAGTCAGTGGTGGCTTACACAGTCAAGTGACAACAAGGCTTCTCGAAATTCCTGAACTTCTCTCAGTATTCTAGTAATAATGCCCTCGTCTGGTTGGTATTGAAACTTTTGCATTTTCGACTTTTTCCACGGCTTTTTGTCACCGTTCTTTTCTTTCTTTTTATGTGCCGTGTCCATTCAGGACGTAGGCGATCATGGCTCTCCACTCCCCTTTGTTCCTTGTAGCTCTTCATAAATTTCGTCTCTCTGCCACCTCTCCCAGATCATGTTCTGTCACCCACTTGCTTAAGCTTGCTAGGTATGTCATGCGTTGCGTTCCCTTATCTCACTATCCCTCTATTCCACCTGTGAGTATCAGATTCTTCAGGCTCTCCCTTCTCATTACGTGTCCCAGAAATATCAGCTGCCTCTTCCTGATGTTAAGTATAAGCTTCCTCCTTGTTTGCATCCTCTCTAAAACCTCATCGTTGCTCACACACTTGGTCCATAATATTTTTAGCATCCGTTCTTTGTACTTTGATATTGACTGGCATGAATGTCACTTTCAAGTTCCACAGTTTCCGCGATTCTTTCAGGGCCGTTAACAGACTATTTTACGCCTCAGATAAGACTAGAAATTTGTGATACTCACCCCACCCCAAATTGTCAGCTTCAAGAGAAAAACAGAAAGGAAATATTTATATAAAATGCAAATCAAAGATTTATATAATAGATGCACTTTACTTCTTTAATCGTTTATTTTTATTTGAGAATAAAAAGGCGTAGAAACTTTAAGGATCTCAAAACGAAACTAGCGTCTTTTAGTTATTTTAGACAACCATTTTGCTTTCATTCAGCATGGCTGATGCTAACCTCCAGCTGAGCAACCCATTGTGCTTCTTTACACCGACTTTAAAAAATCATTTCATCCCAAGCAAGGCAACAAAACCTGAGACGCAAGAGGTTATCTAATATCTGTCTATATTTCTGAGATGGGGTATTGTAATTGTTGTAACCTAGAAAGGGTTATTGCTTTTTAACCATCCCTCTCATGACGTGTCGGCTTGGACTCCAGAATATGCCGACTTTACCTCTGCAGTGGGGTAAGACCCCCTCCCAACAATGAAGCGTCCTGGGTATGACGATAAACTACATCCGCGTCTTTGATCTGACGATAAACTAAATCCGGCAGCAAGGCCTCTGGTCAGGAGGTTTTGAGGAGCATGGAACCACCTCTTAATTGCTGGTGTTCCCGGTTTCACCTTGACCCCCGGGGTGGTAGCACCTGTTAGGGTCCCAACTATGGGTAAAATAGTTAACCCTCAAACTGGGGTGAAAACATTATGAAAGTGTAAAAATAGGTTTTAATGCTAGCGATACATTTTTGGAAAAGTTATTACCATTGCTGGTAATTTTTTTTTATCAGCAATAAAAATCTACCCATATAAACCCATTGGGGTTGATATGCCGTAAACCAAACCAAACTAACCATCCCTCCCACCCCCAGTTCAGCCATCCATTCCCAAAAACCCGTCAGGTATACGTTCTACTGCTTCCCTATGTCATTTATGTCTTCGATATGTCCTACGAGTGTCAAATTTTACAAACCTCCTTTCCACAATTAAGTGTAGAAAAAATGTCAGCTGTCTCTAATTCTCAGTGAACGTTTTGTATACATTTTCTTTAACCCTTTAAAGTCGGTTTAAGCGGTAGAGAAAAATGACTTAATGTCCAGCCACTGGTAAAACGGCGGGTAAACACTTATAACTATTTTTTATATCCACCGTGAAACATTACATACCAATTATTTGCGAATTTTGACTCGGGAGCTCAGGCAGAAGGGTTAACATTTTCCAGGAACGTAGGGCTGAAAGGGTTAAGATGTCCTCTGGGTCATTGAAAAACCATAATTCTATTGATACATGTCATGGTATGTCTGTTAATTAGTGTCCTTGAATGTCACTGAAATGATCGTGGGTTGAAAACTTTTTAATTTTTTTTCTCATATTTAGAGGAATTCTTTGAAGAAATAAAGCAGAGGCAATTGTTAACCTTTGTTCCCGCAAAAAAATAAATAAATGGCGTGTGTCAAAAGGGCGGTTATTTCCTGACACCTCTATAACTATGTAAACTACCATGAAGAAATAAATTTGAAAAGAAAATTTTTTATTCGTATATATATATATATATATATATATATATATATATATGTATATATTAAGCATTCAACCCGAGCAAGGCGTCACTAGCATGCAAGGGGTTACAGTGAGTTAGCGGTGCAAGAGCAAAGAGAAAGGATGAAGAAGGTTGGGGGGACAGATCAGGGCATCTGGAGACGTCGATTGACGTTACATTTTGAATAGTTGAAGATTATAGTTATCAGAAAACAAGAAATGGCAGGAAGTTCTGCAGGGGAGAAATGCGGGCGCTGAAGCTACTGGAGGAAGAGACGGCACCATTTAACAGTTTCGACAGTGAAAGGGTGAGATCGAGATGCCAGCCCTTAGTTGAACGCTTAAATTCATGAAGTCTGGGAACCAACGAGCAGCTCACCGGCAGTTACCATGAAGGTATTTGTTAAAAGACAGAGGGGAGACAACGCACGTCTGCGAGAGCGGCTGCAGACGACATGCCAGATCAGGGCCATTACATTGCATATCCGTCTTTGGATTTATCAAGGACCTTGAGACAATTAGAAGGGGCTCCAGACCATATATGGCAGCAATACTCCATGTAAGGGCGAATGGTTGATTTGTAGATTTGAAGGATCGACTCCGGCGAGAAAAATTTCCTGGCGGTGGACGAAGCTATAAAAAGGAATTACAAAATAAGCGCAAACGTATTTTAGTGAATTTATAAGGCGAGACAAATTTAAAAAATGCCAAGAAAATGGATTTTTTTAAATAATTACACTTGCTCATCGTTATTTATATTTTCTTGTTCACAATAATGTTTATTAACTGATGATAAACTGTTAGCTTGCGGTTACATCTCGCCATTTCAAGTGTGAAATGATGAGACCTTACCGCCAATCTAGTACTGCTCTTAAATTCATAAAGTCAAGATACCAAAGATTTATTTAACATGTATTTAAGAGTTAATGGTTAAATGACAAGTTTTGTTGTCCATTGGACTGTTTCTTGCTGGCTGCATTTTTCCTTATAACTTTGATCCAAAACTGACCTAAAGTTAGATGTTATCGTAAATAAATAAATGGCCAATGATGTATCGTTTTATATTACACTTCATATCTTTTTCAACAACACTAATTTATTAATTAAAACGATTACGAAGATTGACTCATGTAGATATCTTTAAGTGAATGGTATTCTTTTGGACTCGAAAATAAATTACTGAGAGACATGTCCAAGAAACTGTTTCAGAATACTATTCAGGGCAAGCACGTACTACCATCGAACCACCCATCCAAGATGGGAGCCTGATTGGGGGCCCCAGGAAGTGCTTTGTGACCCTCACTATTTTATCAACCTTTGCTTTTTTGTTCTTTAGCTACATTTGTTATAAATTAAACGAAACACAACGATGTATTGAAGGATGAAATATTTTCGCGGATTTTGACGCCATTCTAGACTCTTTCTATTTATCGTCCGTATCCGTGAATTTGTTCTGTTTATGCTAAGTCTAAAAGAAACGCTAAAATTCACTATTTTTTATCCATAATGTTAAATGTGTTAAACTTTTATTCAACTTTTTAACAAGGAAAATCTGAAGTTGATGTTAAAAATTACCGTAAAACATTGTTGATTTATTTAAGTTGGAATGATCTATTCTGACATGTCTCTAACTTGTATTTAGAGATATTGTATTTATTTTCAATTTTTCTCGTTGAATTGTTCCCCTATATTGCATATGATGTATTATTGTACAGTGTAACCCGGATATAAGAGAGTTGTCGGGACCGGAGACGAAGTCTCTCATATCCGGGTTTCTCTTATATCCGGGGTTGGTCTAATTTATATAGATTAAGACAGGCTCTAATTTGGGACCAGAGAAAATCTCTCTTATATCCAGGTTTCTCTTATATCCGGTCTCTTGCGTCCGGGTTACACTGTTACACGCGGATTGGGTGTAGCAACATTTGTATTTTGTATGAATACTACCTTATGAAAATTGAGATATCGTAGAGTGGGGGGGGATATCATAGATTGTGGGGTGGAGGTACGAGACCCTTGCATCGACCCTGAAGCTACCCTCTGTTTTCAAACGGTCATTCCCTTACAATTGTGTTAAAGTAAAACTTTGCTTCACTTTTGCTTAAAAAAAAAGTCTATTAGATGGCATGAGAATTTCCCGACTTCCCACGTCTTTTCTCTGCAGTCGAATTATCTCGGTGGTGTTGTCTAGAATTAAAATAAAAACAAAAGTTTTTCTCTGGATATAAAAATTAAAAAGATGTTCTTCTATCCACCGTCCATCAACCCCTGTTTAAATATAAACAACAACAACAAAAAAAATTGGTAAGGCTGAGACAAGACCAGCAACAGCCTCGATGCTGGGAAAATGTTATTTGTTTATCTTCCTTAGTTGTCATGTCATTTCTCTCCTTATTTTCCCTTGGACTGAAAGTAAAGGGGAAAAAAGGAATAAATATAGAACAAGTTCAACATAAACAATAACCTCTGGCAAAAAGGGGACAACGCTTTCAAGACTGACTGAGAAACCTCGTTACTTCACTTATTTTATAAATTTCTCCCTCTCTTTATCTCTCTCTCTCTCTCTTTATCTCTCTCTCTCTCTCGCTCTCTGTATCCCCCCTCTCTCTCTCTTTATCTCTCGCTTTATCTCAATTTTCGTTCTGTTTTTCGTTACTTATTTTTTCTTTCCTTTTTGATTTGCTCTTTTTTTCCCTTTTTAATTTTCATTTTTTTTCCCACATTTACCTTCTTTTTCCCTTCTCATTCGTTTTTCCTCATTTTTCTTCTCATCCCTCTATTGATTTTCTTTCTTTTTTTTCCTTATTCTTTTAATTTTATTTCTTCCTTTCTCTTCTTCCATTGTTCTTTTCCTTCTTTCTTTACGACTTTTAATTTTCTCTCTTTCTTCTAGCTTCTCTTCTTCATTTCTTTTCTTTCTTTTTATTTTCTTTCTTTCCTCCTTCATACACTTCTTTTCCGACACTCTTTCTCTCTTTCGCTCTTATTCGTTCTTTCTTTAATTTCTGTTTCTCCTTTTTTTATTTTGTTGTCTCCGTTTTCTTTCTCATTTTTCTTCTGTAGTCGTGAAGGATTCTTTTAGAATTCTCTTAATTTTTCATTTTTGCTTCCTTTATTTTCGTTCATTTTCTTTTTAATTCTTTTCATTTAGCTTATGTTTTTTTCTTTAATTCTTTTACGTCCGTCCGAACTTGGATCTTTCTTCATTTTTTCTTCCTTTTACCTTAAGCCTAAAAAAATAAGTTCATTTAAAAAAATGAATATATAATATAATTCCTGCATATATATCTTTTATTAAAATATTTTTTTTCACCATTTATAATGCTTCAGAGCTGCTCGATTTTGTATTATTATTATTATTATTATTATTATTATATATTATTATTATTGTTGTTGCTGTTGTTGTTGTTTAATATTTTTTTTTTTGCTCCAGGAAACCCTTCATGGAATTGTTTGCATAATGACCCTGATTTATGCAAGCCAGCACTTATTCATATTCAAGTTCATTACAAATTCACTACTGGTATGCAGTGTTACAAGGGTTGGGCTAATGAGACGACCCTATTATTTATACGAAATGAGTTAATTCAGAGACGATTTATCACTATATATATATATATATATATATATATATATATATATATATATATATATATATATATATATATATATATATATATATATATATATATATAGATTGAATTCAGACACAATTATACTATATACATATATACTATATATATATATATATATATATATATATATATATCGTTGTGTGTTGTGTGGGAGTGGCGAGGGTGGCTGGTTAAACAAAAAGCTTCACCACAGTAATCAAATAATTTATGTGTAGGGAGTCTAGAGAGAATTATTGGGGCCCTCATCTGTTGTAAGTTCATCCCCTCGGAATCCCGTTCCACATTGCAACAATACCGACAAAGAAGCTGTCTGGGTGGCACTTCCTCCGGACAAATGGAATATGAAGCGAATGACGATAAGTTGCATGGCGAGTTCTAGCTGTGAAGGACTGGACTGGCAGAACCAAGGGACGTAATTTGCCGAAACATATCTCATAGAAATATATGGCTAGCAACGTTTCTCCTGTGGGAAAGGCATAGGGGATGAAAAACAATTCATCGCCCACAAGGCTGCGCAAACTGTTTTGAACTCGATCGTGGCTGAAAAGATGTGGCAACAACACTCCATATTTGGTCTGATGTGGGGAGTAGATAGATTCACCAATCGTCCGGTTCACACACCTCCGCGTTTTTGTTTTTTTACAGGAGTAGAGGTTTATCTTTTTTTTCCTGTTTAGGATTGGGTTTCCGGTTCCTGTACTTCTGCTGTTTCCGCCTGAACTCTGAAATTTTATTCAGTAATTATTATTTTGTCCCTCTCCCAATAAGAGTAGATAGGTTTGCCCATCGTCTAGTTTACACTCCTCTCCGGTCTTTTGAACAGGAGTAGAGGTTCAACCCTTGTTTCCGGTTTAATATTGAGTTTCCGGTTCCTTCTAGTCTACTTCTACACTATACTTTTAATTGAACTCACTAATTAATTCTTGACCTCTTCAAGTCTAGAGTTAGCTGTTATCTTCCCTGCGTAGCCACAAGAACTTCACTACTTGCCTTTTCTTACCACCCAGTAACCCTCTACCTTGAGTGGCTCTTGGGGCTTGTACTGAGTGAACATTAGTAAAATAACTGACAAAGCATGAGAGAAAGAGTTAAGTAATTTCTGGAGCGGCACAGGGTAGCGACAATATTAGCAGCGTCTTTAATGATGGATTGTATATACGAATTCCATTTAAGGTCTCTTGTGAAGGTGAGTCCTTGTAGACGTCCTACACAAGGAGCCTCATTGACGGTACAACCGGTCGTAATGACTGGAGAAAACTCAGGCTTTCCACTGAAACGTTGCTAGCTTAGTTTTGGATCTATTGAATGTTACAAGCCAGTTCCTCCTACATTGAGCTGTGCTAGCAAGGAACGAGGAAACAATTTTACCATGAAAGTATTTATAGAAAAGGCATAGGGAAGTAACATTACGACGATGGGAATATGACTGAAGCCCAGATGCCAGGTCAGGACCAATAATATTGCTGATTCTTCTTTGGATTTTATCAAGAATCTCTGAATATATATCAGGAGTACTAGACCAAATGTGGCAGCAATATTCAAAGTACAGACGATTGGTAGACTTATAAATAAGTCAGATTTTTTAGTTTTTTTCCAGGACCAGTTGATTTGAATTACTTGGTTTTACTTCGATTGAGACCGAAGCGAATATCAATTGAAGTTTGGTTTTATTTTATGTATTGTGGGCTTGGTTTATAAACCGAACGAGTGAATGAATCTAACCCGCATTCGCATCAAGCCAGTCCTGGTGGCATCTTTTGGTGGTTCCACGTGCCTTTTCTCCTGCCGCTGTTAGGGTATCGTATCCAGGTATCAATGGGGAGGTTTGTAGTTTCAGGGTGTGTGTTAAGGTGTTTTAACAGATGTTACTTTAGTTTTTGGCGGGCAAGGGTTGGTTTGCAAGGAACGGGTGCAATATAATATAATGCTCATCCAACTATGAACAAAGTGATGGTCAGAACAGTAGCCGTTAGTATGATTTGTGGCGTTCCGAATTTGTTTAACAAGTCGAAGGCACGTGAAACATGATTAACCAATGAAAATCAAACAACACAAAAGTAAAAATACCAGAATTTCTTTCTTCTTTTCTACATATCTCCTTCTCTGATGAAGCTTTAATAAAACCGAAACACGTTAGATTGATAAAAGTTTTCTATTTATTCATTATCTTTCTGTCAGATTCCGATCCATATTTGATCTATATTTGATCCCAACTCATATATATATATATATATATATTATTGCTTTTTAAAAGACCTCGTTTGTATACATATCACAAACATTATATTAAGCCCTAACAGCCATCCCTTCTGTTTACAAAATAGGCTGTAAAGATTTAATGAATATGGTCTCTAAAACTATAATATATAAGTTTCAGTTCATAAAATCTTATTTTTTAATATATTGATATTTTTTTGAAATAATTTTTTATTGTGTAAAGTGCATCGTTAAATTTTATTCATAAATAAATACAAAAGATATAGGCCACAAAACCCTATTTTTAATTAACACAAAGTCTCATATATCTGAATAAATTATTTTATAACTCTGTATCATATTATTGGTTGTTTTATATTCTAATAACGTTCGCCATATTTACAAGTATTGATTTTCTTCCTTTTTCTAGTGATTCGACCTGAATATTTCTTACATCGATTTTTGTTTCTTTTTAGAGATCTTCTTTGCTTGAATATTGTTTTTCATTCTCTTTCAACGTTGGAACACAAGTTTCTTATTGAATTAATATCTGGCGAGACTGGAGGTCATTCTTTTTTCTCTTTTTTATTCACTCTTTTTTGTGACATTTTTTTAATTCAGTTTTTAGTTATCATTTTTTTTTCTTTTTTTTTTAACTCATCAATGTTTTCTGTTTAATTTTTGATTGCTCTGTGGAATGGAAGCAGAATACTGAAAATTGCCAAAACGTTGAAAAGAAAGTTCAACGTTTTGGCAATATTCAATATTCTGTTTCTATTATAAATTTAGAGAATTTTGTTTCTTTTATTTATGTTTATATCTTTCTTGAACCATAGCATTTCAAGTAAATATCAATACAATATTATATAGATATTTTATTTTAAAATATAATTGTTGTGTATTTACCCTAATTTTACATAAGTGGGTGCCACCATATAAATATAGGTTGGTACCGGAAGACGAGGAAGATTAGGAGATCGAATCCAGAACTCTGTAGAAACTGCGACTTAGTCAGCCCATTCTGCAGGAACAGTCTTCCCAATAATATACAAAAACTACCTGTAAATATTATGTACCTTTTTTTCATTGTTTCAATACATTTTGTTACGTACATTTTGTGTTGTATTATTATTATTCCATGCTTATTCAAGCTTCAACAATAATGTACAAGAGTTGCGTAATAAAATCGCGTATGACAAAATTAGTGATTGTAAATATTTTTTAATAAAACTAACAGATATAAACTGCAATTGATCCAGTAAAAAGATAAAATAAATGTAAATCTATCCCGAACATCTTTTTTTAAGCATTTCACACCCAAGCAAGGCGGGAGTGCCACTAGCACGCAAATGGTTACAGAGAATGAAAGTAAGAGCAAAGAGGGGGGGAGGGTGTTTGAGGAAAGGAGGAAGAGAAGGACAAAGATCAAGATCAAGGCATCAGAAGATGTCGATTGACACTGCATTTAAAATTTTGAAGATTATAGTTATCAGGGAAGCAAGTAAGAGGAAGGGAGTTCCACTGTCGGGAAGTGTGAGAGAAGAAGAGGCGGTTACATCTAACCATTACGGCAGTGAAAGGGTGGGACCGTGATACCAACCTAGTAGCACGCTTAAATCATTTTAGTTGGGGACACCAGTGAAATAAAATAAATCCAGAGCAGATGCCATGAAAATATTGTAGAAAAGATAGAGGAAGCGTCTGTGAAAGTGACTGGAGTCAGGATGCCAGGTCAGGATCTATCACATTGCATATCCGTCTTTGGATTTTGTCGAGAACCTCGAGATGAACAGCAGGGGCACCAGACCATATATGGCAACAGTATTCTTACCAACGTCTTTTAGTTAATACTATTGACTTGCCTAATAAAATCTGACACAATATCGTAATTGTAGGATGAGTCTGCTTATTACTTAATAACAATAGAAAACCGATCACCCACTATATGTCCAGTAGAGGTCTATATTAATACTTAAAGTTAATATATTTTGACAATTTTATCAACATCGTTTGGTTAATATCAATTTTATTGTAAAAACATTGATTCGCATAATAAAATTTAACTTCGTCGTGTTTCGCCACAAGATTTGGAAAATATGTATTTTAAATATAAAAATGTTTATGTGTGAGGTATATCAATATATATATATATATATATATATATATATATATATATATATATATATATATATATATATGTGTGTGTGTGTGTGTCTGTGTGTGTGTGTGTGT